GAAGGAGAGGGATAACGAAGAAGAACACGCACACTACGACGAGAAGAACCAAATAAGGAGAAAACAAATCAACCCAAGCTACGAAAATAGCACCTGCAACAACACAAACAACAACAACAACAACAACAACAACAATCCCGAAGAAAGCGAAGGCGGAGACCCTGCAATCCTCTCTTGGCCCTTCAAACAACCTCCAGTGTCTTAAATCAAAGCAGCTTCCAGTACACGACGAACGGAGGAGGAGAAGGAGGAGGAGAGGGAAGAGGAGAGAGAGAAGGAGAGGGAGGAGGAGGAAGAGAGGGAGAAGGAGAGAGGGGAGGGACAGGGAGAGGGAGAGGGAGAGGGAGAGGGAGAAGGAGGAAGAGAGGGAGAAGGAGAGAGGGGAGGGACAAGGAGAGGGAGAAGGAGAAGGAGGAAGAGAGGGAGAAGGAGAGAGGGGAGGGACAGGGAGAGGGAGAAGGAGAGGGAGGCGTGGAGGGACAGGGAGAAGGAGAGGGAGGAGAGGGAGAGGGAGAGAGAGGAGAGGGCAAGATAAAGAGGGTGTGAGGGAGAGTGAGGAGGATAGGTAGAAGGGAGAGGGAGAGGGAGAAGAAGAAGGGGAAGGGAAGGGTGAGGGTGAAGGAAAGAATAAGAAAAAGAGGGCGTGAGGGAAAATGAAGAGGTGGGTAGGAGGGAGAAGGAGAAGAAGAAGGTAAGAGAAAGAGGGTGAAAGGGAGATTGATGAGAACGGAAGACGGGAGAGGAAGAGAGTAAGAGAAAGAGCGGATGAGAGGCATAAGGAAAGGGGAAAGAGTAAAACTGACAGATAGACAGGGAAGTAGGGGAGGGAAAAAAAGAGACAGATGTAAATAGTACGAGGATAGACAGATAGACAAATATAGGTAAAAGGAGAGGCAAAGTTTATAAATGAGAAGAGAATAAAGTCTAGAAAAAAAAATAGAGAGAGTAGAGAGAAGAATGAAAGTGTTGAAGAGAGGAGTGAGTGCGGGAGTGAGGGAATGAGGGGTGCGGGGGGAGGGGGGGGTGCGTGGCCCTGATCGTCACCTCGCACTCTAAATACGTCGAGAGATCAGCTGTGTTGGCGTTACAGCGAGGCTCTTGTTGGTTCCTTTCACGCTGCTGCTGCTGCTGCTGTTGCTGCTGCAGCGTTTCACACTCCCTCTTCCTCTTCCTCTTTCTCCTACTTCACTCTTTTTCTCTCGTTCTCCTTCAACTCTTATCCATCATCTTTATCATTCATATCCCTACTTCTCCGCTGATGCATTTCTCCAATTCCTAATTTCCTTTGAAATGCTACCTAGATATATACATATTTTATCTTTCTTCTCTTCCTCTTTTCCTTCATTTTACTCCTTCCTTGCTGTGCCCGCTTGTTCCGTCTTCTTCCCCTATAAATGTCTTCCCTGTTCCACCCCTCCCCCCCCTTCCATGCCTGTGCCCACCGCCTAGAGTGCCCAGATCATCAACACCACGTGAGATACTCCACTGCCTTCCACTACACTCTCCACCCCTTTGCATTCTCCCTCCCCCCCTTCGTCCTCCCGTTTTCCACGTCCTTCTCCACTTCTTCTGATTCTATCTACGTCTCCACGTCCTGATTCGTCGACTACTTTATCCCTTCTCCTCCTCTCCATATCCATATTATCCTAGTCATCATCACCATCACCGTCATCACCACCATCATCATCATTATTTTCATGATCATCATCACCATCCACCTCCTCCACACTGTTCAACATTCCAAGCCGGCTCTGTAACACCAACCACACCATGTGACACTATTCCCCCCTCCCCCCATCTCTCTCTCTCTCTCTCTCTCTCTCTCTCTCTCTCTCTCTCTCTCTCTCTCTCTCTCTCTCTCTCTCTCTCTCTCTCTCTCTCTCTCACTCTCTACGTCCGGGATGTATAGACACAAACAAACACAGCGCGATAAGAGGGAATGAAGGAGAGGAAGAATATATGGAAAGGGAGGAAAACAGCACTGCAAGTTGAAGAAAATAGAAAGAAGACAAGGAGTAAAAGGGGGGAGAAGGATGGAAAGGGAGAGCGAGCACTGCCCAGCACCATCAACAGCTGATCATGCGGTGACCCGCTGAAACCATAACAGTCGGGACTCATCCGCGGCCACGTAACACACACATACTGCCTCACAACCGACTCATTCACTCACTAAACTCGCTCTCATCTTACAGCGGAGAGAAAGGGCATGTGTGTGTGCGTGTGTGTATGTGTGTATGAAGGCATGAAAGAAGAAACTTGCTTACCTTTTCGTGTCTTTCATATTCCAGTCCGGGGACCGCATACACCCATTCCACTGTCCCGCGAAACTTAGACTAGCAAGAACCTCCGCAAGGAGGAAACTATTCCCCTCAAAAAGACCGAGGGCAAAAAAAAAGATAAAAAACAAACTGCTTAAAACTCTTTTCGACTAAAATTTTCTCTCACGGTCCGTCCCTCTCCACCGAAGCCACCCAAGCAACTACGTCACACTGGGCCAGGC